GGGGTAAGGAGTCGCTGCCATCAGCCCCACTGATGAGTCTAGGCAGCGACTCTGAGACGAAACGCAAAACCTTTCCTCACCTTACCCACATCATCACTTCCTACATTATCCTCGCATTATCATCGCCATTTCAAACCCTTCAATGAAAGCAAAGGTGGCGCCATCTATTGATAACTCGGTGGTACTAAAAACAGAAGTTTCTGCTTTTAGTACCATCGAGTTGCCAATAGATGGCGCCACAGTTTTCTCTGAACAATGACAGGTGACAGTTTTTCCACAAATTACGAGAGGAAATTAATTAAGAGGAATCATTTGTGAACTGTTATGGTTGCGTCTCCGATTTTAAAGACCTTTAGTTTGCGTTTTATGTTTCGTTTAAGTATAGTTCACGTATATAAAGAATGTTTCAATTTCGTTTACGTTAGTAGCGGTGCCAGTAGTGAGTGCATGATTTCTCGCAAACTATAGTGAATATTAGATTAAAATTTATTTGCGGACGCAATTGATAGCATTATCTGTGAAATATATGCTTGTGGAGTGCAAATTTGTGGCGTAAAAAACTAAAATCAATTATTTCCCTTGGATGATTATAGAGCGTTTAGTTCCACCGGTCTGCCACAACGCGGCGCTAGTGTTTTTTACCCGGTAAAACAGAGAAATTTTCATTTGCGAAAAAACCTAATTTAGCGAAATGAACTGTGAACTTTGGCGATTTTATTACCCTAATTAGACCCTTAACTTTCTTTTCATACCCCATTTGACCCGTAAAATTCTAAAAATGTAGAAATATGTTAGTTTTATAAATAGTACCACTGAGTTACCGCTAGATGGCGCCACCATGTCCATTTTGTGACAGTTCGCACTAATTACGAAAAAAACTTAATTAAGAGGAATAATTTGCGAACTTTTTTATACACCTCCTTAAAATTAGGCTCCCCGCTTTCTTTCTATGTGTGTTTTGTCCTCGAAAAACGTATGTATAAAAAGTTGAATTTTTTTTCCAATAGATCGAAGGATGTCCTTGTCGCACACTGTTGCTTTCTTTGTCTAGCGTCATTAGACAAGGAAGGCACTAGCGTGCGACAAGGACAGACATATAGCCGCGGTAGACAAGGAGAGCAACAGCGTGCGACAAGGACAGACATATAGGCGCGATAGACAAGGAGGGAACTAGCGTGCGACAAGGACAGACACATAGGCGCGATAGACAAGGAGGGCAACAGCGTGTGACAAGGATAGACATATAGGCGTGGTAGACAAGGAGGGCGATAGCGTGGGACAAGGACAGTCATATTCGCGCCGTAGACAAGGAGAGTGTGCGACAAGGACAACAATATAAGTTCCACCGTTTTACCGCTACGCGACGCTAGTATTTTAATGCTTTAGCGACTTCTACCTTCATAGAATTTAGATCAACGCCATCTATGTTCATCAAATCGTTCTGTCGAGATGCGTATGTCCGATAAGCAATAGAATATTTGAAAATTGTTAGTAATTTAATTATCACTATGGAAATGTTTACAGATACTTATATATATTGTAACCATAGTAGAAATTCTTCATTCGTTATTTAACTTTCGTCATTTGATATTGATTATTTGATATTCATCATTATTTATTAAATATTTTAGTTATTTTATATATTTGTTACATTTATAATAATTTTATATAAACTGTCAAAATTATATACGGAGTTGTTCTTTAAATTTGTAGTACTATGATTGAGAATAATTATCAACATAGTCACTATAATGCCTCTAGCAGTTAGCACATCCAGTCTCCTTGATATACCAGTTCCAAAGACATGAATATTACAAATCCTAAGTGGATGCCGCTTAGCAACAGATCAAGTGCGGTCTTTAGGTTAATGTAGTATATCTCATACAATATATTGTGATGTCTTGTATCAGTTAATAATATTATTGAAACATGTTTCATTTGTCACCCCAGCTTCCACGTGATCCTCGAAATCAAGTGATTTCGTTTGTTTGATGTTGTTCCTGCTTTTGTACACTTCAATTATGCATCGTTCAAAATAAAATAATTACGAAACTCGACTCAAATCCTACTTGTACTATTAGGATCGTATACTGCTATCAGAGGTTGTAAGACATGATTTTATAGTTAAACTGAATTTTCCCTCAAAAGTTACTTCTTATATCAGGATGACATAACAGGAACAAAGATCTTCCAACACTAGGTGGCGCTTTTGTAACTGTGATGAATTGGTTATCAAATTTCGTTGTTTGCATTGGGATAAGTAGAAAAGAGATTCCGGATTTTAGATAGTACTGATTGAAGATCATTGTCTAAAAGCAAAACGTTCGATATTAAATAGTACTCATACCGGATCATTAAATCTTTTTTATGATCACAAAAGAAAAGAGAATTTTACTCTAGATATTAGAATAATTTGGCAAAGGATCAGCAATTTCAAATAAAATGTGTCTCAATAATAAAGCATTGGGATTTAAATTTAAAGTTATATATCAATGAGAACCTAACCATTTATTTTTTTTTTTATTTTCGGGAAAACTTCATAAATATACTTTCTCAATATAAATTGATGTCATATTATCAGAGATCTAATACTATTGACATATATGTAATTGAAATTGGATACTACAAAATTTGCAGGAACTTCTTTTTATTTAATTAAATATGTATTATGAAATCCAACAAATATTTTCTTTCGAATAAATAATCGTAATATTCCCGTGATTGCAGATCGCCGGTTTTCACCATTCTAAAACATCTAATTATCGTAACAGGCATTGGCGCACTGTGTAAATCGAATGTCTGCGTCTGCGCTCAGATCTTGGAATATGTTCTCTTTTAAACCCCTGTATCATCTTAGTTATTCATTCGACAGAAGAGGATCAGCTTCGATTTTCTCATTAGCATCACCAGCCCTCAGTCGACACTTGTACATCATTCGAACATGGTCTTTCCATTTCCTGTGTATCCAAACGATTAACGAACCGATGGAAAACTCTTGACAAAATATAACGTTCTTGTTGAATTCAGGCAAGGCATTTTACTCTTTTTGTTAAGGACAAGATTCATTTGAAAATGTGGAAAATATTGAGTTACGTTTATTTGTAAGTAAACTTTTCTTATTTTTATGATCATTTCACGGTCATTTTATTTTCAATACCATTAAATAATTTATTACGCAACTCTTGGTTTTTCTACGTCAAATTTTAATTTTTAAAGTAGCCTGATTATAACTTTATTATAATTATCTTTTTCTTTTTCTTTTTATAATAAAGTAACTGCTGTTCGCATAAAATTCGAAGTAAACGTTATACCAATGGTTGAACAAGTACAAACATCACTGCAAACAGGAAGAAAATCAGTTTTCTTTTGCCCGTTTTTCTTCAAGATCAAGTTTTCGAAACTCCGGCCTTAATCTTTATTTAAAAAACTTGCCTAAGAAACTTGAGAAGAAATTAAGACAATAGAAATTAAGCAACAGAGAGAGTTATTATTATTTACTTTCGTAAAACTATGGCGCATATGTGCTTCCGTGTTTGCAAAAGAATTAACCCGCTAAAAGATTAGATAATATTCTGCCACTATATTTCAATATGATGTTCAAAATTCATACGATCAAAATACGATAGAGACGACAAATTAATACAGCTAATTCTCGAATTAATGACATGGCACAACTTTCACATTGTTCATTAATTTATTATTTTACGAAAAATGATAATTACTTGTTAACGCGTGACTGAAATAGGACAACGTTCTATTTCTGGATGAAACCGCCATTTTCGTTGGCTAACAAGAATGAAGAAAATTGTGATTTACGTCAAACAAATTCAAACACGAGCGCTGAATGCAATTTCAAGGAACACGATCACCGTTTGGTTTGTTTTCACGGTCTCGAGGATAAATGGAAGACCGGGTGATTATCACCATTGCTTCGTTACTTACTAATGACTATTTAAATAGCTGTGTATATACGAGCTGAAAAGCATTTAAGAATAATTATTTAGAGGTGAGAAGGTGCGAACGTTGGTGATTTGCTATTGGCCCATGACGACCTTCGATCCCCAGGACGTTCTTCAAGGATTTTCCACTTTGAAGAAGTTAACGATCAAAAACGGAAACTTGACTAAATTGACGTCGCCTTTTTCAAACGAATCCCGATCGATCGAGGTTCCGCCACTCTCTTTTCGTATTCCGTTTGATCGAATATTTTCTTATCATTTGTAAGAATTGCATTTTTCTTCAGAAATTGGAAGTGACTGGAACTAAATTGAAGGAACTTCCAGAAAATGTGTTTATCAATCTCTCGAATTTGAAGACCCTGGATTTTCGAAACAATAGCCTCTCGGAGATCGATGTTGAAACTTTCAATATCCCCTCGTTACATCACGTTTATCTTTTTGGTAAGAAAAGAAAAAAAAAAAAACAATTAGCAATTTCTTTTTATAGATTTAACTCGTAAACGTATAAATATAAAGATTTATTCGTGAAGGTAATCCTTTGAAATGTACGGAAAATACGAAGTGGATTCTAAACGGAGAAAAGGATTCGTTAGGCCACAAAATTGCCGATAAAGAACATTTACGTTGTACAGTTCCGTACGATGGCAGAGCATTGATTCCAGTTGTAGAAATAATTAACGTAATCAATTTTATACTGTAGTTTATTCTGCAAGAAGTAATCTATGCAGACGTTTTGATATTAAGAGATTTATTATTTCAGGCGTTGAAAGATGAATGTACAAAGACTGTCTGCGAGTGTGAATTGGTATACGTGCTTGGTAACGGAGGAAAGCACATTCAGAAGCAACTGATGGCTTTCGCTTCGGTGAATTGCAGTCATCGTGGATTAACTGAGATGCCAAGTTTCTTACCTGCGAATACTACCACTCTTTACTTAACTGGAAATAAGGTTTGCTGTTTTTTTTTTTTTTTTTTTTTTTTAAAAAAAATCGAACCAAAATTTTCAAAAA